GTGGTGCATTATGAAACGTGAAATACGACAACAGAGACCCCGGACTGTTGAACAACTTAAGCTGTACATTAAGCAAGAATTCCACCTGAAAAGCTTCAAAAATTGGTCTCCTCAGTTCCCAAACGTTTACTGAGTGTTGTTAAAAGGAAAGGCGATGTAACACAGTGGTAAAAATGTCCCTGTGCCACCTCTTTTGCAATGTGTTGCTGCCATTAAATTCTAAGTTAATGGTTATTTGCAAAACAAAATAAAGTTTCTCCGTTCGAACATTTAATATATTGTCTTTGCATTCTATTCAGCTGAATATGGGTTGAAAATGATTTGCAAGTCATTGTATTTTGTTTTTATTTACGATTTACACAACGTGCCAACTTTTCTGGTTTTGGGGTTTGTAAATCATAAGTTGTTTTTTTAATTTTTATTTTTTTGCCGAATTCATAACAACTAGTATATTTTTGGTCCCAATGATTGAATCTTTACAAGTTGTAATATAATTTCAGTGGCATGACTTTGGTAAGCATTGTTTATCAGACGCAACTAGCAACTCCACGCCCTAACCAATCAGTGACCGACGTCAGGTTTCAGGCCAGCATGGTATGTCTGGAACCACAACAGAGTTGGTACTAAAAAGGGGGCCGGTTCCACAAATCCTGGACAATGGAAATGCATTGGAACCATGCTGTAGAGACACYAGTACAAAATGAATATAACTGTTAAGTTGTCTTCGCCCTGAGCAATATGGCTGCTCACTCTGACCACCAAATCACGTGATAGCGCCTCTATTAAATACACGTCATTGGACAAAACACAGAGCCAAGCTCTTGAGCAAATATAATTAAACCATCTGCGCTGACTTTTCTTCATCTTAATTGCACTGCTGACAAATCCACTGGGAAATAAATGCTGCTTTACACCAGAAAAGCAAAGTTTCTTTCATAAACATTGCACAAATTATAAACCACATTTTAGGGCTGGGCAGTATGACCTCAAATTCATATCAGGGTATAAACTGAATCTCTCCATGGTAACGGTATATATCGAGGTGGTAAACTATCATAAATGTAATTTTTAGAGCTTTTTTTGCAGAAAACTAATCTTAATCAAACCCAGAATTTTTGCTTTATTATCAGCCTGTCACACAATGAGCTTCTGCCTCCTGAGCTTATCAGCTGCTGCACGCTCATCCTCATCGCTGCACGCTCATCCTCATCGCTGCACGCTCATCCTCATCATCAGAGCAGAAGTCGACTTTACATTAGCAAGAAGGATTTATGACTGAACGAACGTCCATGTCTTTTTTTTAAATTACTGTGGTGGGTAACAATACATAAAAACAAGTTCTTTCTCTGACAACTTGGGTGTATAAAAACTCCTGTTGTTGTTAAAGCTTCGCCCTGTGCGACGTGCAGCAGGAGGGAGGAAATGAGCCCGCATCCCGCGACACGACATAACTTTTACAGCGAGAGGGGGAAATTTTTCATTTTAAAACGCTAGAATTTCTTCGTTTTATTTCGAACTCCTCCTGTTCAGTTGTCTCTGCACTCGCAGCCCTGTTCACACAGTTGTGATGACGTAATGACGACAGGACGGTAGAGGGTAAACTTCTACCGTAGGCCAACTTCATAAAGTTTCTACCGTCTACCGCACATCCCTACCACATTTAATAGTATTTTTTTCTTTTTGCAAGTCTGCACTTGGTGTTCTTGAATTTACTATAAATGCTGCGCTTCAGTTGTACTCTGTCGGGATTTCAGGCTTCAGAGTTGAAAATATCAACTGGACCGGCCCCTAATGTCAGAATTTTGAGTCGGGAAGTCGGTGCAACACGACCATACCAGAGAACACGTGACGTCATTGTTTCAACATGGCTGCTCCTCACATCAACAGAAAGTGAAACTCTCATTTTTATGGTTTTTAGCAGTTTTGTGTCATTTACATTAAGTCAGTCGTACTTTTAGTACTTTATAGTGAATATTAAGCAATATGTTTTAACATTGTTTGTACACCCAAAATGCAGCGTGGAGTGCTACCGTTGTGTTATTGTTGCTTTTTTTTTCTCACCAGAGCAAAAAACAAAAATGCTTTTTCTGATGTTCTGACAGGCTGGAAACTGGAGCGCTTTCATCTCAGTACTGATGTCAGTTCAACTTAACACAATATTGAGTTCTGCTGCAACTGGAACGAAGTTTTATAAAAAAAAATGACATTTTGAAGGCCTACACAAATCGTTAAACTATTCATTTTTCAAATTTTTAAACTTCAGTTTTTAAACAGCAGAGATAAAAAAGGAAAAGAAAAAGAAAAAAGATATAGGTATAATGTGCACTGATCCATATGAACTTCGTTTTAATTCTTTAAAGCAGTGATTGTGACACAAAATAACATTGGCAAAGGCTTCCTCAACTGCTGCTGATAAAAGTGTACAAATAATGCTAAACATTGTCTGCTGATTGCACTGAAGTGCAAAATTTAATCACAGGTCTTTCCTACCAGCTGCAATCAAGCTCTATAGCGAACATTATAGAAATGCATTCTTAATGTATGCTACTATTAAATGTACTCCCTACAGTTCTGTGTTTTATGCACTATTTTTTTGCTTAGTTTAGTATTATTGTATGTTTTTGCTTTTTTATTAGCATTAACATTTTTGTATTAATACCTTGTTGATACTGTTGTGTGTGTTACATTACTGCTGCTGCAAACCTATAATTCCCTGCCAATTATTTATCAATCAAACAATAATAATCATTATGACTGACTGACAGTGCAACATGAATAAATACTTTACATTCACGTTTCACTAGAAATCGGTTCGAAGGTATTTAATACACCTACCGCGCATGTACTCGATTGTTCCATCCAGCACCAGGTTCAGAAGAGGATCAAACCCTTTCAGGACCCCGCTGGCTGAGAGAAAACCACAGTTTAAAGCCTTGAAACGACCTAATTGATTAGTTAGCATATTAGCATTCGCTGCTACACGAACCTTCTCGTCCTCCTTGAAACTTCACACGAATCGTCTTGTCAATGTATTTGGACAAGTCGAAGATACTCTCCTTCTTCTTCTTTTCTTTATCCTGCAGAACACCAAATTAAGTTGCTTTTAGAGTCACAAAGACAACATCTCACAAACTAGCGTCAGCTTTGTTAATACGTACAATCAATTTAAAGGAAAAAACGCGTCTCTCGTTACATTAAAAACATTTTTCACTTCCGCCCTTAATTGTAAAACAGAATTGTATTTCAAGAACACAATAGCAGAAACTAATGGACTTTAAATCTAAAAAGAAATATCAGAATGTCAGCGAATAAATTACGAACTCACCGCCATGTTAAACAGATGACACGGAAGTTCTTCTTCTTCTTCTCTTCAATTATGGCGGATTGCAAGCAACTTCAAGGTGCATACCGCCACCTACTGTACACGAGTGTGTGGCAACATTTCTTTACATCTATTAAATTCTATTTATTAAGCTTGTATTTTTCAGAAAATTAAATAATGATTTCCTTAATTTATAAATATCCATTAGGTTTCCTTCATTTCCTAATATTCCTTTAAGACTCCATTCTTGACCTGTCCTTCTAACCATTCTTTTCAAATTCTCCCTTTCAGATTCATATGTTTTACAGTTCATTAATACATGCTCTACATTTTCTTTCTCTCCACATCCTTCACATTTATCATTACTTTTCTTCCCTATTAAATATAAGTTATCATTTAAATAGGTATGACCTACTCTTAATCTGGTCATAATTATTTCTTCCCTTCTGTTTCTCTCAYTAATATTTCTAATTAATACTGACTTTTGTACTTTATATAATCTTCTCCCTTTCTTATCTTCATTCTACATTTTTGCCATTCTTCCATTTCTTTATTCTTAATAAATGATTTCCCTTCCCCTTTCCCAAAAGGAATTATGATCGTTATTGCCATTTCTAATGCCCTTTTTGCTAATTTATCTGCTTTTTCGTCCTGATGCATCTCAGTAATCCAGGTAAAAAATCAAAAGGAAAAAAATTGTATAGGTGGAAGAGAGACGAAACGTTTCATTAAAGAAGAACCTGTCCAGAGGACCCATACAATTTTTTTCCTTTGGATTTTTATCTGCTTTTTCATTTCCTTTAACCCCTTCATGAGCTGGTACCCAGCAGAACCAAACATCAATGCCACTTCTATATAATCTAAATAAACTATGCAGAGTTTCAAAGGAAAAAAAATTGTATAGGTCTTCTGGACGGGTTCTTCTTTAATGAAACGTTTCATCTCTCTTCCAAGAGACTTCTTCAGTCTGAGAGTTTCAGGCAAAATTCAGGCTTTTATGTCCTGCCTCCAGGTGACTGATACTCACATCACATGACCCACAGAGGTGGAGGCCTCCGTTTTCAGTTGTCCCCCTGCTACAGCGCTGCCATTGGCAGTATCACTCCACCCCCTGTTAACAAAAGGTATTAATTAGGGTGAACGATAGCCATGTGATGTGAGTATGAGTAACCTGTGAACGATAGCCATGTGATGTGAGTATCAGTCACCTGTGAGCCATAGCCAGGTGATGTGAGTATGAGTCACCTGTGAACGATGGTCATGTGATGTGAGTATGAGTCACCTGGAGGCAGGACATAAAAGCCTGAATTTTGCCTGAAACTCTCAGACTGAAGAAGTCTCTTGGAAGAGAGACGAAATGTTTTATTAAAGAAGAACCCGTCCAGAGGACCTATACAATTTTTTTTCCTTTGATTTTTTACCTGGATTACTGAGATGCATCAGGATATGCAGAGTTTCTAATACTAAATYTTTCCTATCATTACCTTCTCCCTGAATACTTTCTAAAACTGCTTTAGAATCTGTACATATCACCACCCTGTCTGGTCGAACCTCCTCTTAGTATAACTGCCATCATTTCTGCTGTGAAAACAGATAGGTGATCTGATAATCTTTTGGAGATGTGAATTTCAAACTCTGGTATATTTATTCCTATTCCCACACGTCCTTTGAGATTTTTAGAACCATCTGAATATATTTTGAGGTAGTTATGATTTTCTTAAATATACATCGGTCTTTACCCCTATTTCATTTAAATTCCCATCATTTTTCATTTTAAGAAGTCTCATGTCTACATTAACCTCAGGAAATAGCCAGGGAGGAATAACACTAATTGGATTAAACTGGGCTATTTTCTTATCCTCTAATCCATACATTTTGGTCAGTTTACTAATCATCCATCCAAATCCATTGCTCTGGAACTTTGCATRTTCCCAACAGTTTTGTAATATAATTGATGTTATATTCTCTTCTTTATTACTTTTAATWTTCATCCAATWAACTAAAGCTAATTTTATTCTTCTCATTTCCAGCGGGGACACGGAAGTTAAACTTTGACACCGGAAACGGTACACCAATCAAATCAACTCTCACTGGATGTGACGTCATTTGTTTAGCRTTTGCTTTTTAAAATCTACTTATTGGTTTAAACTTTTAATTTTGGAGAAATAGCTAAATAATTGAGCTGTTTTTTCMTCTTTTTTCAAGCAGGGATGGGAATTCGGTTCATTTTCTAGGATCCTATTTTTTTCATAAAGAGCTCATTTTACTGAAAAAAAAAATTATTTGGGCTCCCAAAGACTCGCTTCACGTGTTGTGTAACTTAATATTTCAGCCAAATTTTGATTCTGAGCAAACACATGTAGAAAACCACCAATGTTCAAAATCATGAAATTTTATTATATTAAACATTGTATTTTTTAATTTTTTTTTGTCTGTTAAAACCATGCCCCCCGCATTATTGCCCCTCATATGTTATTGTAGCACCTGAAAGTTAGTGAATGTCTTTAGCCTTTGCTAAGCAGTCCAGCAACAAAATACATGCAAAACCAGTTTACTGCAGTAAATTCTATCGCAATGTGTTTTTATAAAATATTTGTTACTTATGCACACAAAAATTGTAGTGTTTTTGGGGGGTCCGGAACAGATTAGTAGCATGTCAAATTAATTTCTATGAGGAAAATTGATTTGACATATGTGTAGTTTGAGYTAGGAGCTCTGTCGTGGAACAAATTAAACTTGTAAGTCAAGGCACAGGTATATAATAGGAAACAATAACAAAYAAAACAATAAATAAAATAAAATCKGAGGTAGGAGCTGACRCATTKTTTACATAAATGAGCCTGCACACTAAACCTGCTTGGCCATGTCTGTCACTTCACTTACTATTAATAAACCCAAACTGCTGACCAGTCRGTGTGTTGCAGCAGAAGTGGGTCAGGACACTTGTTGTGACATGGCCTGCAGGGTGGAGCTGAGCTGAAGCCACTAAACAAAACAGGACATGGACAATGAATCTACTTTWCATGTGAAGGACCCAGAGCCTGACCTCATCCCTGATACCACCCTGTGGGTAGAAGGAGAGAGTTTTTATGTCAGCCGTCAGCACTTGGCCCATCAGAGTCCATACTTCAGGGCTCTCTTCTTTGGCTGTGGTGTGGAAAGCAACAAAAGGCAGGTAGAAATCAAAGGTGTGGTTCTGCAACACTTCAAAGTGTTGATGGAATACAGCATGACAAAAAGCCTGGCTTTGGATAGAGAGAACGTTCTGGGGATCCTCGAGACTGCAGACTTTTTACAGCTGGAGCAAGCTAAACTTCTGTGCTGCAAGTTTTTGGAGCGTGAGCTGCACCTCAGCAACTGTTTGGAGATGATGGCCTACGCCTGGCAGCTCGGCTGCACCCAGTTACACACAGCAGCGCGACAGGTGGCACTCACACATTTCCAAGCAATCTCCGCTCTGGAGGATTTCTTGTATCTTTCCAAAGAGTCTTTAGCGAATCTACTTGCCAGCGATGACCTGGCCCTCTTCAAAGATGACCTGGTCTTGGAGGCCACCCTACGATGGGTGTCATTCGACCCTAAAAGAGAAGAAAACTTCCTGGAACTCGTTGAGCTGGTGAGGCCCGAGTCTCTCTCTTTACCATTTATTACTCAACTCTTGACCAGAATGAAAAGCTCTGACCCCAGAGCCAGGCTCATCAGCAAGCTCAACGAACATTTCCCAGCATCTTGGTCGGTGGGACGTTCGACGAGGAGGATCACGGAGACGCTCTACGTCCTGGGTGGGCCTCATGATCGAGAGGAACAGGCCCTGTTTCAGTTTCACCCRCAGAGTGGACGGTGGCAGAGCTGTGCACCTCTGCAGAGGAAGAACCTAACTCAGTACTCTGTSGCTGCAGTGGGTAATGATGATATAATCATTAAATTGACAATAATTATAGCTTGTAGTCGACTCATCTGTATTTAAAGGGTATCTTCAGTACATCTTTTATATTTTCTCCCTGTTTAGGTGACAGTGTGGTTGTAACAGGGGGCTACTTCCGGGACGTGCTATGGTTCAGTGTGGACTGGGTCAGGATTTATGAATGTGGGAACGAGCGCTGGTTGGACGGGCCGGCCCTGCAGAAGTCCAGACACAGCCACTGCTCCATCGGGTTGGATTCGGCTCTATACGTCCTGGGYGGCAGTATGGATGAAAGCCTTGTGGCTGATGTGGAGAGGCTGGATCTGGGGTCAGAGGACGGTTGGGAGGGACTGAGCCCCATGGTCAGGGCAGTGGAACGAGCTGCCACCGCTGCTGTGGGAAGGTGTATCTATGTAGCATGTGGTCTGGATGAAAACGGAGATGTATATCCTGGAATTCAGAGGTACGTGGTGAAGAAGGATCAGTGGGATGTGGTCTCCTATTCTCCATTTCCACGGTAAGCAAATCTTTAGTTTCTCTGCTCTTCATTCTAACATATTTTAAGCAGAAAGTTTACTTTGATCTTCTCTTTAAGCTATGACCTGGTTGCCACTGAGCTCAACGGTGCTCTCTACCTGTTTGGAGGCCAAGCGCTCCGTTTTGACATAGAGACAGACGAGTGGACTCTGCTAGAAGAAGAAACTCTAGAGAGAAAGTTCTTCTGTGGCTGCACCACAGCYGGAGGTCAGATCTACCTGGTCTGTGAGAGGAGGAGCAACAAAGCATTCCCAAACATGTTGCTCCTGGACCCTTACATAGACACATGCATAGAGGTAGATGTTACCATTCCCTGCCCTGTTCCCCTCAGAGGATGTGTCACCATGAGAATGGTCACATAAATTCCTGAATAAAATTCAATGTCTGGTTCGATCATCTTTATTTATGATAGTAGTGCCTTAAAATGTGAATTTCTTTAACTAGTCAGTTCTCACTGGCGTCATCATCTGGGTACATTTTTACTGGCTGTGCAATRTTTCTGGGCTAGCATTTAGTTAGTAGGTCAGAAACCAGCATGGAGGATCCACAAACGCTAGCTACAAAAACAGAGGGAGAAAACACTGAATGATGCAAAAAGAAAAAATTTGTATAGGTCTTCTGGACGGGTTCTTCTCTAACGAAAGGTTTTGTCTCTCCTCCAAGAGACTTCTTCAGTCTGAGAGTTTCAG